ATCCCATGGCCTGTGGAACAGGAAGGACTAAAAACTTCAGTAAGATGTCAGCATTGTATTAGGACAGAGGGGGCTTAGCCTGCGACGAAATGTACACTATGCACCGGCAAAATGAGCAGCTAATGTTGCTCACGATGTCAGTTTCTTGCCATAGCAGCTTCAGTGAGTAATGTTTGAGCAACACTGGACTTGATACTTGTCCTTTTTATGCCCGAATGGCGCTTTTAACATGCAAACACTAGTCCATGTAAACCATTGCTCATTAACTTAAATACCCATACCTCCATTCCTCTGAAATTGTTGGTATCGCTCATTGGTAGCCTGCTGGACACAAGACACACAGACCAAGTACTGTAACCTTTGCTGCACATGTGTGCTGAGAGTTATTACCATAGTGTATCTCTGTGGTCCTGCTTGAAAAGTAATGTAGGCATGTGTGTCAACACCCACCAATCCTTACAGCACACTTTCACTTCATTCACAGCAACCTATGATGTTCAAGAGCCCCACGCAGAGTCAACTTAGGATGGAAAGATTGTGGTAAATGGAGAGCTCATTGGTAACTCACTTGCAAAAGGATGCTTTGTAGTGATTCAGTGCAATTTCACTACTGAGATTACCTTTATTGCATTGAAACATAATGGAGAAAATCTGAGACTCTCTATGGCAATCTTAATGCCTGCATCAAATTACACTGTGTATGTACATGATCTGGAGAAGGGTGGACTTCCCAACATACATCCAGCTAACCTTGTCCCTTCTAGTGTTGAGATTACGCGTGGTGAAGAAAACTGTAAGTTCTCTTGGGTACAAGAGTGTTGTTTAAGCATTGTGTGTGTTCATTTTAAAGACAAAGCTCCTAATGACGAGAACCTGAATAATGCCAGCATCTCCCGACATGGCTCAATTTTGAATGTCACCTGTACTCCTGATGAGCACAGTGCATCGTGTGTTCTGGTCTTCAGAGCACGTGGCAACTATATGTTGAACTATGAAGAAACCTTTCCTGTTACTGTCAATCTTGATCTTGACGTGAACTACACATTTGCACTGTTCAAAAGGCTAAACAACGATACTGATGAAAGACCCTTTTTAAGCATGTTTGTACAGGGAAAAGAAGATCCTTCACAACCACCGTCATCATCAACTGGTAAACTAATATGTGTAGCAAAGTGTAGGGTTTAGCACCTACTCAACTGTGGGACATTCCTTTACAATCCTGCTTGCATTAGCACAGAGAGCACAACATTCAGGCGCCTGCGGAGTAATTTGTTCTTTTTTGGAGATGGTATTATTATAGGTGTTCTGATATGCACACCTGCCAGTATGCTCCTGGCTATACCTTACACTGAGACATGATGAAAGGTTTTTCTTATTAGGGACACCAGAGAGAGCTGAAACCACATCATTAGTTGTACCTGTCACTATTGGAGTGTTGGTGGCTCCGATCATTATTCTTGTGGTGGTGGCTGTGAGCATTATAGCTATTATGTTAAGAAAGAAGAAATCACGGAAATCAGTAGAGGTATGTCACTTTTTGCTTTCTGTTGTCTCGTAAGTGGCTGTTTCTCTTTCAGTTTGTTGAGTACGTTGATACAAAGGCAAGTAACACTGCTCTACTGATGAGTAGAATAGCAGATGACGGTGGTATGAAGAATGAAGAGAGTAAAGAAGGAGAGGAGAGTAAAGAAGAAGAGAGCAAATGTGCAGTGGTGCTGACCTCAGTATCAGTGTCCAGGCCGTATCTGCCGGATGTTACCCAAGTCCAGTACCGGGAGATTGATATCAGAGTTACTCATGTCAGCTGATGATCACATGATAGTCACATGACTCATGTTATGATCCACTCTCCTCAGAAAATGGCCCGTTCTGCCTACACTGAGATGGAACCTCTTTCTGCCAGCAGACCCAAACCCTCGGAGATGGACACAAGGACACGGTGTCCTTACGTCACAATCCTACCTCATGCCACAACTCCTGTGAATGACAATGACAACAGAGGTTAGTAGTGATAGTACTATGTAGGTGATTGTAAGGCTGTGTTCTACTATATACCTAATGCAGACCAGGCATCACCTAGAGTCCTACATTATTACATGTCTCCTCTTCCCCTAGAACTCCCCACAGTGGCGCCAGTGATGTCACTGTTGTGGGGTGTGGCAGGTCGTTGGAAGGAGATAGCAGAGGGTCTAGAGTTTGTTGAGGATCTGATTGATGAGATAGACGACAACAACGACATGGACGAGGGCTGTCTGCAGCACTGTGTGGATATCTGGATTTCCAAACTACAGCCATCCTGGGAGAAACTGTCTCATGTACTGAGAGATATGGGGGAAGTGGAACCTGCCCATCAGGCCTTGAATAAAGGTAGTGTTCTAATGTGTAATACTTGAAGTGGGTGTTTCCTACAATTGGCATGCAGAGCCACAAGAGCAGTGGCAGGCACCGAGTAGGCAGACCAGTTACTCAAGCTCAAATGCAGTCGGTAAACACTTTACCTGTGTGGGAGAACTAAGTTTTGTTGAACAGTGTTCTGTGCTACAGTTGCCGATGCCTCATCTCAGTCCACTGACTTCAGTGGTGAGATGGTGCCTGGAGTTGAGAAGACACAAGCTCCTGATGGTGGCAACAATGAAGACCAAAGCAGGGAAGGCAAGGTGTGTCCCAGGGGACTCCCCACTCGGTTGAACTCCCTTCTTCAGCAGCAGTTTATAAAATAGACTGAGACTGCTGAGATTTTGCTGTTTTGAAGGAACAATAATAATTTTGCTCCTGATGTCAGCTTTAACAAAAAAAACTGTAGTGTGGATATGCTTGTCCGACAGTAGTCATGTTCTCCCACTTTTATCTGGAATTTTATGGTGCATTCCATGTTCTATTCTGATGTGAACTCTAATCTGTACACTCACTGCGAATGCGCCTGAAGTTATCAAGTGCAGAGAGAGGAGAAACAGGCTGCATATGTACATAAGTGTTCATTGTGCACATAGTACATGCCCAACACATTGTCCCCACAGTTATACATTGTGTGTGCACACACATAATGTAATTGCACAACCCAAACACCTGTCCCAGCTAATGGCTATAATGGTGCTTACGCCACCCGGTTCACGTAAATTTTTCGGGATATATCCTGATCCTATTACTGCTCATTCGCCGAGCGCATCCCAGGTTCGTATTATCATACAGCCGGCCTACCGTATGCTCTACAGCAGCTTTAACAAAAAAACACCTGGAAATATTGAACTCTGCTGTGGAGGCACCCCCGAGCAGCTTTAGCGAGCATCTACGTTGTCTCTTCTGGCCTGCCCTGGCTCTGCACAGCGGAGGGACCTGCTATTTTATCCCCAACGCATCGGAGACTCTGCCGTCGTTGCCTTTATAGAGGTTCGTCTAGCCATTGTTGTATAGACTCGTGGACACGCAACCCCCTCAACGTCCGTTGTGGCGTGAAAGCTGGCTCATTCATAGATTTTGCTACCTTAAGCAAGAATCATCTGAGCTGTCTGAACAACAAGGTTGCAAAGGCACACAACACAACTATCAACACTCAGGACAACTTTTTTCCAAAGAAAAAAGAGCTACCCTAAACACTCAACAACAATGCCAGAATCACCATTGTAATCTTCAACTTTAAAAATTGGATGTGATGGAGTCTGTAGACAATCTCGTCACAATAGAGAGATCGTGCTATCTAATCTTGTCTGCACCACTTCTCCACAGCCCTCACATCTGTCTGTACGTATCTCAATTTAACTAGCTTACTAGCTATGATTAACAATGCAAAGAAACTTAGTCGAAATGTCACTGTTATGTAGCTATATATAGTTAGCTAATAATAATCCTCTCCTCACAAACATGGAGGAGTATAATTATTATTGTGTAATAACATGTGTGGGTACTTGTCCATAAGAGCTATTTGCTGATGTTTTAATGACTGGAGCATATGCTTCATTTGACATTAGCTGAATATCATGTGAAATGGTGACCCCTCTCACTACATCCACCTCATCATAAATTGGTGTAGAGGATGATGCAGAGCTCACCAAGTTGACCGTCTTACCTACATGGATGTCCATAATAGGCTGTCCGAAAAGAACACCTTCGTATATTATAGAAAATCAAAGTCAGCTACACGCATATTAATATAAATTGAATGTCCTCTCCCAGCTCTGAGTCTTTAAGCACAATTACTGAAACCAGTGAATGGTGAACTTTAGGTCAGTTCAGGCAAAATTACGGCCAAACGTCTAGCCTTTGGACCTTATAAAAAAATTTCCACAATCTCGAGATCACCCGGTTCCCACCTGCCCAAGGATGCTTCACTGATTGAAGTATGTTCCAGTTGCATGCATGTTGTATGAACCACTCTCCTTCTTAGCCAAGTCTTTGAGAGGTCTATGCTTACCCTTCAGACCGAAGGCAGATGTCCACACCAGTTGGAACTGAGGAGAGCGCAGGCCATGGAAGACAAAGATGAGAACTCCCTGAGAGCCTACCAACAGACTGAAGATGACTTGGAGGGCAAAGGTCAGTTCTTTGAGGTCGGAGCTGGTGGCAATGAGTCCAAATCCCCAGCCAAGTCCTAGCAGCAGCGACAGTCCAACTGCAATGAAGTTCTTCTTGAAGGTTCTCCTAGCACTGTCTCTCTCCACGTCAACTTTGACAGTCCCGAGGCATAGCTTGAGCATTATGATGGCTAAAACAATCCAGTTGAATATGCCAATGATGGACACTGGAAGGATGTGTCCCAGCCAAAATGGCCACTCTGTTGCCCTGCAACTAAACATTTTTCCCCGTTGCACCAACAGCATAGTTTTTAAGAGTTATTAACTCACTAGTAAGGGTTGATATAGTACTTATAGCCTAGTCCCACTGAAATTGCTGTAACTACAAGAGGAGACACTGCATTGCAAGGTGGAAGGTAATTGATGGCATCAGATTGCGATTCATTTTACTCACACCAAACTGTAAGTCCAGCCTTCCAGACATAGTGGTGTATTGGGTTTCCCAGTACTACGGCCAACTTGTGGTAGAGAAAGACAGCCTCAGCTGCGGTCCAGCCAAAGAAGACCAACATGATGTAGTGGAAGAGAGCGGCCACCAGGCCACAGAGAGGCCCCACTGACGTCACCAGACCGGCCACCACAAACACCACATACAGACAGAGGAGAGACACACTGATGTTGATCAGAATCCTCCCATGCTCCTTCCTTCGAAGAGTCCTGATTTTATGTTGAAACACAAGGGGAAAAGTTCTGACCTCTGCACCTATAAGTGTGTATATACCAAACTGCCATTATCACTCACTTTGAGCTCAGATAAGTCAGTAGAAGGAGAAGTAGACAAAACACTGACACAATTGCTCCGATATAAGATATGGTGGCAAGTGCAAGTGGTGACAGAGGTTCTCCAGGGTTCAAGTCCTGCAAATAGCTAATACCATAACTTAATCCTGAACAAACCAAGGCTCACAAAAAAGAGGCCAAAGTGACCGAGTTGTGAGCAGTCACACTGTGTTCTTCCTCCACCCCTGCCTGTTTCCCTACAGTCCTCAGACGACCACCTCCCAGCTCCATCTGTTGTAATACAAGACAGTTGGGTAGGTTATAGGATGTGGGCTAGTTCAAACCTGTCTTGTAGTTTGAGCATACTCGCTTCATTTGTTGCTGAGCTGTATAGGCAGCAGTCTCAGAATTAGTGATGGAGGTGTTCAGGCAAACCTATAGCATGAAAAAAAGTCATTCAAATTCTTTGGCTAAGTTACGAACTTACCTCCATTAGTCGCTCTAAATCAATCTTCGCAGACAGTTTGGTGGCACATTTGCTAGCATTGACCCCCACTATTATGGAACTAATGGCATAGAGATCACAGGCTGTTTCTGGAGTGAGAAACAAGGCGTCTGTACGGAAAACAGAGTAGATAATCCTGAGACGCTCTCTGTTATGAGCAGCACACTTGTCCAGTCCTTTCAAACCAAGAGATCCTGTCACATTAGAGAGTACACCAGAGCTCACTATGAGCTGTTCAGGAGAAATCAGCTCGTTGCTCATTACTGCAGTTTCCACACCTCCTAGGTCAGCACTGAACGAATCATACTTCCCTTCATTCTCGCTACTTGCATTAATGTCCAATACTATCACGCCATAGTTTCTAAGTGTTTTCGTCATTATTCGTGTTTGATCACCCAATGGTATTTCATTATGGAGTCGATTAATTTCCTGAAGGATCCTGCATAATAATATACATAACAAAATTTGGTTAACAACTAAGGTAGCAATGGACTCACATACCTGCTAGAAGAATTTGATTTCATCTGGCTTTTTAGCAATTGGTCTGGCCTTCCTTCAAGCACATTATCAATAATACTCAAATATGTTTCATACACCTGCATAAGAATTAATAAAGATTAAGATGTGTTTATGAGCTATACTATACCTGTGTGTCTTCAACAGCTGCATCAGTTAGGTTGGCAATGATATCACTTGCCACAGTAATAGCGAAATAATCCAGAGCAGATTGATTGCTTGTGATATTGAGCACTGAATTAGCCACATTCAGAGGAGTTTTCAGCTGTAAGAAAACGAGTCACATCAGTGCCTTGAATCATTATTATTATTAGACCAACCTGGCTAGCTTCACAGAGCTGTAGAGCAGTGATGGTGAGTCCACAGGCAGTGAAGTCGGTGTCCAGCCACTGGCCACTGTCTCCATGACACCGTCTCTCCACCACTGCTCCTGAAGGATAGTCTATGAGCTCCCGACAAATGTCAGGACAGGGCTGAGTCTGGCTCCTCCCTCCCTCTGTCCACGACCAACTGTAGGTCACACTACTGCCAGGGTACACTGGGACATCTGCTTCTGCCTCACACAGCACTGTCTCACATGTGCTACCTGTGAACTGAGGCTGGCAGAGGCAAACACTTTGTCCATGAACCAGAGAGCATGTCCCTCCATTGTGGCAGTAGTGTACTGGGCAAGAAGGGAGTTTAGTCTCACACGTGCTGCCAGTAAAGCCTATTACACAGTCGCAGAGTGATTCTGAGTTTTCTGTTAGAATACAAGTTCCACCATTCAGACACTCAGTAGTGCAGCGAGTGTCAGTACATTCATCTGCAATCTGTGTGCAGTTGTCTCCAGTCCAGCAAATGGCACAGTCACAGTAAGAGCTCCCGTTCACCTTACTACAGCTCCCTCCATTAGAGCAAGGGTTTGGATCACAAGACAGAGTAGTAGGAGTAGGGCTGGGTGTGATTGGTGTACTACACTCTTCTAAAAACTCAGTGCAGTTTTCCCATGTCCAGCACATGGCACACTCACAGTAATAGCTGTCACCCGTCTCAGTGCAGTTACCTCCATTACAGCAAGGAGTTGGATCGCAATATGTTGGAGACTTCACTGGTTCATTCCCACAAAACTCTAAAGCAAGGAATATCTTTGTTTCACCATAATTGTACACCAAAAGTCAGGGATGTACATTTACTATGGTAAAGAGTTTTCCTCCACCCCTAGCCACTATTTTATTTAGCTGTGTTGGCACTATACCTTCTGGCCCCTGCCCACCCAAAGCCTAAAAGCCTTACCTGGAGAGAGACAAATCTTTACTAGTCCCCTGGATGTGTCGTGTAGGGTCTGACTAGGCAGACTGACTGTGAGGTTGATGGTAATAACCCATTCCACGGGGAAATCCTCCTCGTTAAAACGGGTGTACAGATTGCTTGCCAGGAATGAGAAATCAGTAACTCTCTGATTGCCCACTGTCACAAGATCACTCTCTGACCTAGTATTCATTTGGTTGATTACCAAGCTGTTGATTTGAGGTAAGGATGCATTGACGATAGCTCTGACAGTGAAGACTGGTGTAGACTGTGAGTTGTTCCTGTATATCTGGGCATAGTACACTGTGGCATTCAGGGCTACACTGCGATCAGCAGGAACTGGAAAGATAGAAGAAAAGAGTACTCGCAAAATCAATGTGTCTTGTATGCACTCACATGGATCACAGGTTCCAGTGAGAGTGGTGATACTTCCATTACCAAACTGTCCATCAGGACATGTCTCCACACAATGACCAGCACTCTCATACAGAGGAAGACCACAGGCTGTGGAGACCAGAGAGAAAGCCTAACCCAGAATTCACACTAGAACAGCTTACGATGTAAGACATCAGTATTTTGTGTAGCATAAAATTCATCTCCGCTTAGAACGACAGCATAACTGCATAAGAGAAAAGTGCATTGATAAACATTCAGCTTTGGAAAATCCCACTTACAGAAAATTGATCCCTCCAGCTCCTTGTAATGGAGCTGTCCAATTCAGTGTCAAGTAAGTCTTGAGACTGCTGTTTGTGTGGGTCACTGCTGACTAAATCAATACAATGTATGCTGAAATATAGCACTAAAACCATGGTTAATCATTTTCCCTTGCCTTACCCCTAATGTGCAAAAGATCCTACCATAATTTCAGGATTACCTCTGGAGGGTCACAAGAGCTGAGTGTCTGGTCATCTCCACCGTCAATGAAGGTACCAACTGGAAAACCATCTGCCACAGCTCTGGCCTGTACTAGAAATCCTCTGAACTGCTCACCTCCTGATCCTGATAGAGTCACTGCAGCACATGCCATACATTCATCCTCTGACAGACTGAGGCAGAGCTGGAGGTGACTCACAGGTGTAGTCCTGTCCAGGGACATAGTAGATCTCTCCTCCGTAAGTCTGGTCAAAGTCAGAGAGGGACAATTGGAAGGGGTTAGTGGAGAGATCTTGGGAGGTTCCTAGATGCCCCACTGGGTAGATGTCACTACATGCACTGGCTGGAGCTCCAGTGGAGTAGCACTGAATTCCCACCACTAGTGACAGTAGGAGACACACTGACCACTGCAACTGCATCTTGAGTCAAATTTTACAGTTTGAAATCATCAGCACCTCAATTTATTTCAACTATACATATAACTTGCAAATGTTTTTCACAACTTAGATTCCCAGGGGATGTCCGAATTCATAACTCATCCTGCTTTATGTGAGGTATTATGCCTTTCATGGTTATTCAAAACAACCCATGCCTGTTGAGTTCCCTCAAAACAACTAAGGATGAGCTGTGGTGGTGGTTTGTGTTTTTCAAATATAGATGTTAGACGACTTTCAACACAATGTAGTGTGAAACAGGGAAACATCATTATGTATACGGAAGACACAAGGAAAAGCATGTGCATTTAAAAACAACCCTTTAGAGATGTGATTAAATCTTATCAACTTATGTTGTTATGGTTTTATGTTCAGTTAGCACAAATTTCAGCGCCATGAACATCACAACTACATACATGTATTAAGTTTCACCTTTTTGACAAACTTTTTTGTAGTGATCAGCTATTACATAATTACATAACACACCTATTCAACTGCTTTGTGATTAACATAACTTTCTCACAGTATAATTATACATGTCACAAATTTGTGACTTTTTTAAAGAAAGTGAATGGGAGGAGACCAGGTACACTGTCACTGCCCAAGCTTTAACTATAGCCAAAGTCACATGAAGAATGTATTCGCACAACTGCCCCTGGCAGTGACACAAGAAAAAGCACTATAAAGTGCAAACCCTCGGTGGAGATGGGCGTGCTCGCTAGAGAAGGGTTCTCATGTCAAAGAAAAGTTGAGGAGACCGCTATATATACGTCTTCTGCAGACAGCAACCAAGTGAGGCACATCTTTCGGTGTGCATCTGCCTGTTTAGCTCAACTATAGGCTTGATACGGGATTAGAGTATCTTTCACATGCGCGAACGATTGGGAAACGCGCGCGCGAAAGTATGTTCTACTGCTAATTGATGGGCTGGGGCATTTTACCTACTCGTATATAGTCTCATACCAGGTCGCTGAGAGTCGGCTAGCTACAGTCTTAGTTTCACGTATAGGCTAGGTCGCCGAGGTACGCGCCGAGACGCCTGACGTTGACTGATTTGTAGTCCAACTAGCCAATCACATGCTGAATTTCTGCTGTGTCATCCTGCACTAATGACTGTTGTTAAACTTTGGAAGGCAACAATTTGCACTTCGCCTAGCGCTAGATGTTGTGATAAGGACTTCTGTCCATACTGATACCAGTGCAGCCCGCAGCCTATATACAGCTCAGAATACAGCGTATATTCCTAGCTGGTGGTTTTTAAGTTGGACTACAATACAGATAACGCGAGAGTCGATACCGCCCAATAATGCAACCTTGGTGCCTCCGAGTTTACGCAGAGCAAGCGCATCTCGAGTATATACCCTTGGCTTGGGTAAACCATTGCTATTGGCGTCGTTCACTTGGTTTTCACGCCGTAACTCCCGAACGCACGCAGTTTCAGAGAAAACCCTACATACATTTCGACCTATACCCGAAGCTGAATAGCTACCTGGTATTGTTTGTGATGGCTAGTGAACAGTGAGTTGATGTTGGTAACCGACAGACAGTAACCCTCGCTGCGCATGCGCGCGGAGGGTTCAAGAATGCATTGGTTCAGCAGGTGTACTGCAACCACAGATTGAGCTTCAGATCCGATACCCCCAACTCCAAGAAAGAAGTATACCACGAAAAACACCACAGCTCTTGTACAAATGCACCAGATCAGTCTGTATGCTCACCAATGCTCCCCAGAGACTTTCTCACACTCTAAACGGTGAAGATATAGCTACTACGTTTCCTCTTTTGTACAGTGAAAGTCAACTTCTTGCACTTTAATAATATTAAGTGAACTATATATTTTTTAGTACATTAATTTACAAAAAGACATGTTGCTCTAACTAACATCCAACTTCTTCCTTTTCTAGTTCTTCTGCAATCTGATTCTGTTTCTCTTTCTTAAGTGCTTCGATTAGCCTTTCTCTTGTTGCCTTCTCCCCTTTTACTGATCTCCACTTCACCATCATCTGATAGAACTTTTCCTTCATATCGGAACTGTAATTCTTATCAATTGCCTCAACGTCTCCATCACTTAGCCCCAATTGTCTTCCAATAAATTTCCAATTTGTAGCAGCTTCTGTGTCTTTCAGGCTTAGGGTGCATTGGCGGAAGTCCCACGTAGTTGTGGATGAAGAAACGGGCTCATCGATTTCCCCTAGCACAGGGGTATCCCCTGCCATTAGTGTTGGATCTAAGGTTGGAGGGCTTGATTGCTGTCTACAAGCAGATCCAGAGAGTTGAGGCTCAGTGAGTTGTGACAATGAGTGCAGCTGATGACTTGGAGAGCTAGAGGAAACTACATTTTGTGTGTTTTCAATAGCTGGTGTGCTCTCGAACCGAGCTCTAAATGGAGCAGAAGGTGGGGTACTGTCTACCGACTTTGACCGAGCAGATCGTGAGGCTGGTGATGACTGTGAGTGTGCCCTAACTGAGGCTGGTGTACTAACTGCTGACTGTGACCTAACTGAGGCTGGTGTACTAACTGCTGACTGTGACCTAACTGTGGCTGGTGTACTAACTGCTGACTGTGCCCTAACTGTGGCTGGTGTACTAGGTCCTGACAGAGCTCTAATGGAAGTTGGTGTACTGGGCCCTGACTCTTGTGCCCCAACTGATGGTGATAGTGTGCCAACTGCCGACTGCAACCCAGCGGAGGGTGGATCAGAGTCCAACTCAGTGTCATTGGCATCATCTCCTTCGACATTATTGGCTGCCACTTCCAGAGCCATCTGTACCCTGTTATAAAGTGCCCTATACTTATTTACAGCCATTCTGTGTAAAAGTGTACCTTTCATCGAGCTCACTGGATGACTGGCACTCAACTGGACTAGTGCCCACAACAATGGGGAGATCTGTCCCCAATGGAGTCAGGATAGGTATGTTTGCATTGAGTCAAGAATGTCTGTATGTAGTTCAGAGAAACACAGGCACTGATAATGCACTGAGTTGTGAATATCATTAGCCTCAAAACCGCCATACCTTCCAGAGGACAGGAGAGTTTTTCTCCAGGAATGTGTGACTCCCCACAATGTACAAGGCACATTTCTGTCGTGAAGTGCCCACCACTAATCTGTTGGGGGACTTCAGGAATCCAATCTTCCCACTCGTGTTGCTACGCACCAGGCTTAGTATTACCACATCACATTCATGACCCTATATGGAAGAAAACGGGCACTCTACCAATCGACCAATCAGGTTGTAGCACGTCTCACCTGGTATTCGTCCACAGTGTATACGTCTATGTCAACCAACGCTATTGACATATTTCTGTACTTGTTTGCTTTATCCTCAAGGGACTTTTTGATTTCTTCAAGCTGCAAAGTTCACAAAACATGGCCACCTAAAGTAATACACTAAACAAGAATGCACCTGGCCTCTGTAGGGTGTCAGAACAGCAATTTTGCCAGACTCCACTCTATTACAGAGCAGCCAGCAGCACAGACTGACGACCATATCGATCTCGTGGGTGTTCATGTAGCCTTTCTCTCGCCTGGTTTCATAAGCCCCCGAGTATGACCACCAGAGGAACTTCTTGCCCATGCACTTGGGTGCACCAAGTCTTTTGTTTTCTAAAACATAAGGTTTGGAAGAGTAACGCCACGGTGTAAGTATGAAAATCAGCTCTTACCTCAGCAGAGAGTATTCCACGTTGGTAGTGATACCCATAGAGTGGCACAAGGGAGGGGTGCATCCTGCTCTGTCTGAGTAGCAGAGTGTGAGGATACTTGTTTCTGATTAGCCTCTCAAAGAGAGATACATCAAACTTGTATCTGTCACTGGCCAGCTTGTTCCAGGCGACCTGGAACATTCACAATGGTGTAGTAAAGATGTGATAGCAACATAACATTTTAGTTCTTACTGTTGGTTTGAGCTGTTTCTGGTCTCCAATGAGGACCATGTGTTTCACATGAGGAGTGAGGACAGCGAGAAGGTTAGATTCCAGGATCTCTGCCGCCTCTTCCACAAACACAACGGGAGCCTCCAACTGGTCCAGAAGTCGCTGGTTGATGGCAGCACCTGTTGTCGTCATTGCCACCACCTTTGCCCCCTTCAAGATCTCCACTGCCTTCTCCTCACGTCTTTTCTACGAGGACCATAATATGAAAAGTCTACATGAACACTCAGATGTTTTTGTACCTCGTATATTTCTCGTATCATGTTGTACTGCCTTATGCTGTCCTTCAAGTCATCCATGGCAGACTCGTAGCGCTCCCTGACGGCAGCTCTGATCATCCTCCGTCGGTCATCAGGACTAAGTGCCCAGACATTTGACACTTCCACTGGGCCTATATACAATAATACGAGACAATGGTACATCCAGTAACCTAGGCAGCTATTACCATCTTCAAAGTCTGCATAGACTGAAGTTAAGGTTTCGACTGCATTATTTCTCTCTTGAAGAGCGTCGTAGTACTCCTCGTACTCCCTTGAGTCCAACTCTGAGTCACTGTCATACTGGAGTGGGCCACTGGTTCCTGGAACGGGATCTTGTGGGTCATGTGGGTCCCACCTGATTCCCTCCACCCACTTAGACCAGGCCCTGCTTAGGGTTCCTCAATTTCTTGTCTCTCTTGCCGATCTCTCTCCCCCATTCGGGCTCTCTAAAAGTACAGTTTAGCTGTACATATTACTGTGTGATTGCATAACATGTGGGGTTGGTACGAAACAGGTATCCTTTTCCATGTGTGCAATCACACAATAATGTGGCCAACAAACACAACCTTCTGACTTCTATACCTGTAATAGTTCCAGGCACCTCTCAGGGTCCTCCCTGACTCTGGCAGCCACTCCACTTGCAACAGACACTGAGCCTTGGTCGAGAATGAGGCTCTGTAGCCACTCTGGAGTAATGTGGTCCAGGCACTCATTGAGGCCTGCCATTTCCACTGTAGCTACAAGGGCTATCCTGGCCATTTTTACCCTGTACCAGGAAGCAGAGTTTCATGAATACAGTCAATGTGGTTTGTTTAGTACAGCAAGTAAATTTGTACTGAGAATCATTGAAGTGCCTGACATTAAAAGGAACAAGAGGTTTGTACTCACCTTTCATACTGATGTTCCATGGCAGCCTTGAGCTCCACTGTGCGGTTTCTGTCAAGACCCGACATAACCTTTTCATTAAGTAACGTACACCTCAGTTCCTCCTCGTTATCCTTTGACAAGTGGCCGATTCTCACAATTCTCTCCAGAGGACAGAAGCTGGTGCACATTTTGACAAAGAGATCCAAGGCTCTGTTCTTGTAGGCGATGACTAGGGCGGGTTTGTTTTCCAGGATTAGTTTACCAGAGCTGTTTTTCATAGAGAGAAAGAGGCGCAGTAGCTGCATTCCTATGTAGGACTTTCCTGTTCCTGGTGGCCCCTGTATAACAAACACCCACTGTATGTTTAGCATGCACACTAGCAAGTAAAAGCAACAACTCCCATCCCTTTCCTCTTTCAACATACACAACCAAACACCACCCCCACCCCACCTCAACACCCCCACAAGCTCCAAAAATAACACAGTACACATGAGGCAAGTAGCTGCTGGTCACAGCCCTGTTAAAATTTATAGTGTAGCCCTGTTAGTGTAGCTAGATGAACTGGAAGCATAGACAGAGTCGGAGAGAATTAGACACCTGAATGAGGCTTAGAGCTTGGGAGAGGGCTCGCTCCACTGCAATCCGCTGGAACTTGGGCAGACAGAAATCTGTGTATTGGTCTGTGTCACTCAGCTGTTCCCTCAGTTCTCCAACTGTCATCACGACCGGGACACCGTCTGCCTCTTGCTTGTAGAGACCACCCAGATCAGTGACCAGTGTGCTGTCATTGATCAGCTCCAGGGAAGCCTGTGGTTCTTTTGCCTGGGTTGAGTAGGTCTGGCCTATTGATATAGGGATGAAAATAAAGCCTCTATTGCTCAGTGTACCATTTCTTACAGAAAGTGGATCTTCTCCATGTCCATTTGCTTCAGTGCGTCCAGTACAGGTTGGTAGGCCTTGAAATATGCTGGACTCTCAAGTGCCACTACATTCCCTCGAATTGTTCAGGGATAACATTGCCTCCTCGTCTGACAGTGTGTTACTCTCAGTGCACAGCTCCACCAGGACCTCACACTGTGAGAATAATACACAACACTTAAGAACCAGATATATAGCTTTGCCTGTTTTACCTGTTTTGTTCCATTTTCTCCAAGTGAATGTACCTTGAGACATGGTTGATGGTGGCCCAGACAATGTCATCCTTGAAACGACCACCAACGCTTAGGCAGAGTAGGTTACCTGCTTTGAGAAAAGGTGCGTCACTTGACACATTCTCAGAGGACTGGGGCTGTGTCTTTATTGTGAAGTGATATACCAGTTTGTGTCCAGCACTGTAGTTTGAGAAGGCAGTGATAGTGGCATCATAAACCACTACTGCCTCATCTGTAGCTTTATTGTTGGAAGCTGTGGGGTCCCTGAGCCGACGAATGGATGTTGCCAAGTCCCCATAGCAGTCAGCTCTGAGGAGAAGAAGTAGGTGCGGCCATATTCATGGACGGAGGTGTAGCGATCCTTAACACAAGGGAGATAGTCTGTGTTTGCAACAGCACCAGCCTTCCATTCTTCCTCTGTCAGTAGAGTGGGGACGGTCTGCCACGGCTGTCTAGCTATCTCGACTGAGTGGGGAAGAAGACAAGTGCTGCTTGAGAGAAAAGAAACAAAAGCGGCCAGCTCGAGTGGCTTGTCTTGTTTCTGTAGAACATCGACCATTGACTCAAGTGCTGGCACAAGAACGCAGACCTCATTGGGGAAGTGCTCAAG